TATATATATATATATATATATATATAAATAAAGTATTTAAAGTCCTAAAAATAGTGCATCTTTTAACAACTTATTTAAACTTATTTGAACTGTCTATTTTCAAGATTTTTAAAGTATTTATAGATTTATGCACTGTTTTTAGATTTTTAAATTTCATAATTACTGTTGAACGTTAATTTTCAAGTTATCGTATAGTTTTCGATATTAGAACTACATCTTCTAACAAAATTTAGAGGTACGCCTTACTTGGATAGTATAAGGCTTGCACCTTATACAAGCCTCATCCATTATAAAACCAGTATTTTTTACTTTTTGTACGAGACGTAAATGATAGAAAAAGTTTATATAAAATGTCAACATTATATTGTATAGGTAAATGGCACCTCAAAAATATATCGGGTGATTTTGACACGAAGAAATCCTAAAATTGATTATCTCAACCTTGGGATATATGATATGGAGAAATAAAAAATGATTTCAAGTATAAAAAATGATATATATTGTAACACATTATTTAAACTGTCATTTTTTAATATTATCAAGTGTTTATTGATCTGCTCAATCCGCTAATTTTAAAATTTTAAATTTCATAATTACAAGTGAAAATATATTTTCTAGCCATCTCAAAAATTTCGTCCCCCAAAATGACACCTTCTAACAAAATTTAGAGTTTGCCCATTACTTTGATTATTTAATAACGATACCTTATACAATCCACACCCTTGATACCAAAATGACATCTTCTAACAAAATTAGAGTTGTACATTACTTTGATTATTTAATGTGGGCCCTTATACAAACCACACCCTTGACCCAAGTTTTAGGAGGCAATCTAAGATGCCAAAAGATATGCTAATCTTACAAGAGCATGCTGCCCATTTGCTCCCTCAAGTAAATCTTATGTTAAAAATAATTTTAAAGACCCCAAATTTTGTAGATATAACCTCTTGAGCACAATGATGTTATACCTACAAAACCCCAAATTTTGTAGATATTACATCAATTTTTGTAGATATCACATCAATTTTTTCAGGAGGTGTTGAAGACCTCATAAAGCACCTTTCTTTTGTTTGAAAAATAGTCTTATCAGGTTTTTCTTGGATCCAAAACCTCACACAAAAAATTGTTATATATTGTTTGAACAGATGTTGCACGTCCAATTGAATCTCAACTCTGGAACGTCAAGTTGAATCTCAAGTCTCACTCTAGTCTATCTTCTTTAAAGTGAGACTTGATTCTTGCTTTGATTCTATTCAAACTTTAAAGCTGGCACACATGTAAATCTCATCTAATGACAAAAACAATGATTTCGCGCAAAATGAGTCCACCATTTCAGCCAATGATAGCTTTCTATTTGGTAGACAGCGAACCTAGGCCTTTCAAAACTCAAAAATAAAACTTATATTTTTTAATCGAAAATATTTATATTTGTTTAATTAGAAATAGTATATTCTAGTCCAAAAGATCTCTCTAGCTATTTGTTCTTTTCATACAGCCGTTAGCTTATAGAATCATTTTCCTACAAATTATATGTTGTCCGAGCTAAATTAATAGCAAAAAATGCACACAAATATTTTTTGACAATATCATGAAAGAAATAAGATTATTTTTGGGGTAGATCTGTGGAGAATACAGGCTCCTACTTGTTGTAGGAATACTTGGTTTTCGAACGCATAAGCGGAAATGGAAACCTACTTGGATTAAGACCACTTGGATTAATAATAGCAAAACACAAATACTCAGAAAGTGTGATTAAGACCACTTGGATCCATTCATTTCCAGTACATATCTTGTAAAAATTGTATGAAATCTCATTTTCCCTTCCAGCTAGCAATATTTATTCCATTCCAAAGGCTATCATTCAAGAAAAAACCCAACTAATTCAAGAATGCAGCCCAACCCTTATTCTGCCTAACATTTGTCCCCACAGGAGCTTGATCTTGAAAGAGGGCTAGAAAATCATACGTACTGACTTGCCAGTTTACCTTCCTTGACAATGTAATTTTGAGGGGGGAAGTCCTCACCCTTGAAGTATCTCTCCAACATGTCTTTCACTCCAGCCGCATAACGTATCTGTAAATCCTTTATCAGTTCACAAGAATAATGAAAAAACACACACACAAACACATGTAGGGAGAGAGAGAGACCTGGCCATCGATGGTGGTGCCAGAGATATGAGGAGTCATGGCATGATTGGGCATATAGCGCCATGGGTGATCCTTCGGAGCTGGTTGTGGATTCCACACATCCCCACTATAACCTGAAATCAGGATTCAAAAAATATAAATTCCAATTGATGCACATGCACATGCACACAAAAAATGCGATGTGTATGTATGCATGCACAAACGCACACATATTGTGAAATAGTTTGTAAATTCCTATCATAATAGAAGAGCAAACAAATTCAGGTTTATGCGAAGGCTGCTTCAATTTCGTTTCAAGCTCATCTATGCCGTTTTAGTCGCCCGAAGAACTAAAATCCAGATGCTTATACACGAGATTCTAACAACTGAAGCTTACCAATACAAGATTGTAAGAAAATGCATACCAACGTAACATATACATACATACAAACATGCATACTCTGATCTTTCTCATATCTCGTTTCTATGTGTGCATAGAGAGAAAGAAAGAGGGGAAGGGGGGGGGGGGGGGGGGGTTTATGTTACTAGTTACCTCCAATGTGGCCATTAGAACAAGCCTCAGCAACTGCGTCAGTATCCATGATAGCACCCCTTGCATTGTTCACAATCAGAACACCCTTCTTCAACTTAGCAATACGGTTCTTGTCAAACATTCCCCTGAAACACCAATTTCATACCCGAAAAATATCTAAAAATAAAATTGAGGCAGGCTAATATAAGAAAAATAAGTCATTTAACACATGCCAAGTTGATTGCTTTCTCATTCCAAAAGATTTGTTATTCTTTTAAAATCTAAAAGGATGATAAAAATGAGAGACAGTTATTCTTTTAAAATCTAAAAGAATGATAAAAATGAGAGACAGTGCCCCTTAGGCATTGGATCAGTGGTAGACATCGCCATTTGGTGAGGGAGGTCAAGGGTTCAAACCCTTGAAGATTGTCCCAAAAGACCAAAGAATCCAACCTACCCCCTTCTTTCGAGGATTCAAGCTTCGGCTTGATTACTTAGTGTTGACAATTGCAACACTAAAAGGCAAGCCTGTATCTTACTACTGAACTACCCAGAAAGAAAGAAAGAAGAGACCAACAAATAACATAACAAAATAATCACAAAAAATTAACCCTCACCACTCATCACAAAAAGAAGAAGCAAGAAAGCGAGAAAAAAGTGACTCCAGGAAAGAAAAGAAAAAAGATGAACTACAAAAGCACAAAAGGACATAGAAATTTACTTGGTTTTCTCAGTAAGTGGTGTGTTGATAACAATCACATCACATTTCGGAAGCATAGCATCAACATCCGGCTCAAATTGAGCTCCAATTTGTGCCTCCAATTCATGCTCCATCTTGATTCGATCGTGATACAACAAATTGCAGTTGAAAGGCTTCAACCTTTGAAGCAAAAGCTTCCCTATACGACCAGCTCCAACAGTCCCAATTGTTTTCCCCTCAAGGTCGTAAGCTCTATATGCTATCGCTGCAACATTCCATTCACCTTTGATGACTTGGTGATAACCAGGCAAAAAATTTCGAACAAGAATGAGAATTCTCATGAGTTCATCCTCAGCTACTGATACCACATTGCTCCCTGTGATCTCTGCAACTGTTAAGCCAGCTGCAGCAGCAGCTTTCAGATCGATGTGGTCAGAACCAATACCAGCAGTAAGGAGAAGCTCTAAATTTTTTGCCTTCTTTATACGCTCAGCTGTTACATAGGCTGGGTGGAATGGTGTCGATATCAGAACATGGAGGTCGGGGATATGTTTCTCGAGCTCTGTGATGATAGAGAAGGACAAATTAGTTAGAATGGGATTGATACCCGAACCAGTAAAGTGTCTGATCCAATCAAACCAGTTGGACTGAATTTAAAAATATAGAGAAAAATATAGATAATTGTTTAAAAATATAAAAAATATTACAAAAAAATTATCGGTCAAACTAAGAAAAGACTTGGCAGTCCAACCGGTCATGCTTGCCAATCCAATTCGGTCTTGATGACTTTGGAATGAAAGGTGTTTCTTGGGCTCTTGATGAGTGAAACAAACGATAATTTGCAAATATCAAGTGTTTCTTCGACTTTTGATAAGAGAGAAAGCCATTATAATGCAATGATGGGTATCCATTTGAAAGATGATTCAAGGGAAAGTAGATAATAATTCAATGAAGTATGGTGTTCATCCCAAGGTTTTACCTGAACTTTCCAATTTTAGAGAGAAAGATCTAGGTGTTCATGAACTCAAAATCCAAAATTTTATCTAAATAAATCATTTAGTAATATTTAGATGAGTCAAAGTATTTTATTTTTAGTTTTTTTTAATACAAATTTTTTTAATATGAAATTTGGTACGTGCATCTTCTCCTTGGGGCGCACCTATAAAAAAAATATTAACAATAATTTTTTGATAAAAAGTAATGACAAAAATACCCTTTCAAACTTTTAAAGGTATTTCGGTCATTTTATTTTATTAAAAATATTCTTTTTATATTTTTAGTTAGTGAGAGTTTAACTAATGAATGAACGCCCAAAATTTGATATAAAAAACAAAACAGAGTTTAATAGAATAATGGACGCCCAAACTTTGGTGTAAAAAATAAAACAATATAGAGCCGTGACATTGTGATTGGGGCAATCTCCATTGAAAAATAGAGGAGGGTTGGATAAGGGGAGGATAGTTGTAAAGGGAACATAGAAAGCTTTCCCTTTAAAGAATAATATCTTTCTCCAAAATGAGTGCACAACTGCAGTTTCTAAAATGTTTCCCATTAATGTTATGTATCATATTCGATACATGTTCTAACCATTAGTGTTTTAAAAAACTTGGCGAGAGATGCCTGCCAATTCTTGTGTACAAAACTCAGGTAAAGTAAAAAAGTTCTTAAAAATATATTTATTTGTAAAATTAATGCATGTTAATTTTATATATAATTTTTTACATTTGTTCATGATGATTTGTGAGTTTTCGTGACAAATGCCCTATTTTTATATTTTCCCTTTTCTTTATTTTTTTGAATACTTTCTGGCCATAAATCAAATTTTTTCCAAAGGGTTGTGGATGGTATTGTGTCCACAACATGTGTATGCTTCATAGGTGCACACGCACCTGGTTCAGATTGATCCAGCCTATCCAAGGCTAAAAAAGATATTTTTTAATTTTTATTCAAAAATGATATTAATCTGAATTTAGGCTTTAGCTTCATTTTTATAAGTTTTTATATTTCCCCTTTTCTTTATTTTTTTGAATACTTTCTGGCCATAAATCAAATTTTTCCAAAGGTTTGGTATTGTGTCCACAACATGTGTATGCTTCAGAGGTGCACACACACCTGGTTCAGATTGAACCAGCCTCATCCAGGGGCTAAAAATGATTTTTTTTTAAAATCTTTATTCAAAAATGATATTAATCTGAATTTAGGCTTTAGCTTCATTTTTATAAATAGAATCAAATAAAAATAATATTTCGAATAAAATTATTGATCAAAATAAATTTAGTGGTATTTTGATATTTTTATTTAAAATATTTTGTGATCATTTTATTTAGTTATCTTTAGAAAAAGAGACCTACACCTCAAAATTCAAACATGAAATTCGTCCACCCTTCCACCCGTCCACATGATGTGGAGGAGATGCTTTTCCTTTTCCAAATTCATCTTTTATGAAATTTTTATTTGGACGTTTAACATTGCTCGTGGTTTACTTTGTTTTTTATCAGTTTTTTTATCTTGAACAATTTTCATGCATTTTTTTATCAAAATTTTAACCCTTTTTTAGCTGGGGCTCCTGCATGACCCGTGTCCGAAACCCGAGACGAGTAAATGAGCATTTGATCAAAAGTCAAACAGGCTCCCTCTCTGTCTCTCTCTCTCTGTGAATTGAGCATAATGGATAATAATACTTAACCACAGTAGGGGCCTTCCTTGTCATCTGTTACTATGTATTGGTGGCCTTGAGATTCAAGCCAACCCTTTATGCCAAGAGCATTCTCTGCACAACCCAAGAAGTTCGGGTTCATGGACGCATACTCGTTGGCCTTGTAAAACACGCCCACGATCTTCTTGCTTCCTGATGATGCCTATAACAACAACAACAACAATGTCTCAATTCAGCATGCAGCAAAAGAAACACCAATTTATCGTTCGTCTCAACCGTGTATTGAGTAAAAACAAGTTTCAATCCGATTTGAATGATCTTGTTGAACTTCAATTATGACTGGTTAAAGCCGCCAAAATGAAGTTAGACAAGTTATTTTATTTTATTTTAATTTAATATCCAGCACCATTTGATTGCCTGTCAAACGAAAAGAGAATATTAAAGGTATGAATATGGTCCTTCCGCGGGACCAACTTGTTCACCCTTGTTATGAACTTAGGAAAACAATAAAGTAAATATTTGAGGAACTAAAAAATGCCTAAGTTCATTTTCTTAGGATTATATAATTTTTTTTTTTTAATGTTTTTCAAAGTCACCGACCGGACTTGCTAAACCGGGTGAGAGCCAATGGCCAGTTCGGTTTTACGTGGCCGGTTCCGATCTGTGATGTTACCTCTCTCTCGTAATGCCTCATAAACCTCTTGTCTAAGAGTAAAAAAAACATATTTAAGAGTTTTTCTTTTAGTAATAATTTTAACTCCGAGATGATTAATATATATAAAAAAGTCCATAAACAAAATTTCATTCCAATTTTAAAATATCATTTTCTTCCAAATATATGGATTATTTTTTTTATTTTTTTATTTTATGAGGTTGATTGGTTGGCGGACCCTAAATCCCTTCAATTTCTAATGCTAAGGCGCATTAAAAAAAAAAAAGTAGCCGGTGACACTCGTCTCTACTTTAAGGGACAGACCTTATCGTGTATCGATAATGCCACCCCACGTGGCTGGGTTGAAGGATACACTTGGACTGCAGTTTTTAAAAGCCTTGAACTTATCCAATATTCTGAAAAGTGCCAGCTCATCGTATTTTAATATATGTTTTTGAAGAGGTACGCCACTACTTAAAACGGTGGAGGACGAATAGTATACTCCTAATGGATCATTCTGTACAACAGTTCCTTCGACATCATTGCCAGAGATTTCTTTTTTCTATTTGAAATTTTGGAATCCAAAGAAAAGCTTTCTATGTACCCTTATAACAAGTTCTATCCTCCTCATACCATTCAGCGCTCATTTTTTACCACTCATCTTTTGATCTTAGATCAAACATTTTAAAATATTTTATTTTTAAGTTTTTGAATATAAAATTTGATACACACATTTATTAAAAAATATTAACAATAACTTTTTTGACAAAAAATAATGACCAAAATACTTTTAAAACTATAAAGGTATTTTGATCATTTTATTTTACTGAAAATATTTGTTTTATATTTTTTTTTAATGCGATTTAAATAGAAGAATGGACATACAAATTTTAATTTATAAAAAATAATTTAAAAATAATAATATAGAGACATGAGATCGTGAATTTCTATCTTGTAGAGGAAGATAAAAGGCTTTCCCATATAAACAAACTGACTGTTTTTTTTTAAAAAAAAGAAAAAAAAAAGAATGGCATCTTGATCTTTCTCTCCACACAAAAAAAGAACGACATCTAGATCTTTCTCTCCACGCAAATGGACAATTATTGTGCAATCATTGAACTTTATCTTCATTAGGCCCATGGGTTTTCTTCAGGCTCCTAGGTTGAGTTTTATCTGAAGGAGTAGATGGACTATATATTCTCCTATGAATAAGAAATCTTTTTGGTTAACGGGTCGGATCTGGGCCCATTGCCAGCCCCATGCCCATCCCTTCCCTTATTTTGGTTAGCCAAGGTCCTAAGGTTTCAGAGCTGGGCCATAGGACATGTCCAACAAATCCGAACCGTCCACCTGGCACACATGTATATCCTTCTAGCATAAGAAAATCATGGCCGCCCACTTATTAAAATCGATGCTAACTAGAAGATGTAAACCGGGTCCCTGATCCATCAGGACGCATTGCCACCCCTATGCACATCCCTTCCCTTCTTTTGGGTGAGCCAAAGGCCATGGGTTCTAGGGCTGTTCTTAAAAAATGGGGCCACAAATCTGAACCGTCCACCTGGCACGCATTTATATTCATCTCAGCCTAAGAAAATCATGGCCGCACACTTATCGAAAATCTGAACAGTCCAAGCGCTAAATCCAGCAAAGCGTACCAAAAGAACCACATGAACCTAAGGTGCTAAATAAACTCTGCAAATCCCATGAAAATAAAATCGATGTTTCATTTACAAGAGGAAAATAAATTCCAATCAAATTAGAACAAAACGAAAAGCCAAAAAAAAAACCGATCAAGAGAAACGTCGAAAAAGAAATACTTACATGGAGATGTCTGGAAATTGCAGGGCCCTTGGATAAGAGGGCAGGGATAACAGAGGCAGCGGCTCTTGAGATCGCCATGTGGGGGAAGAGAGAGAGGTTGAGATATAAATGAGACAGTACTGAGAAAAACTTATATAGGAAAGGGGAAGGAGGAGGAGGCGGCGACCAGAGCGTACAGAATTGTGGTCAATTCTGAGAAAGAGAGAGGTTTTAGAGGGAGAGGGGATTTATTCAGGCAATAGAGGGGCGGAAGGGGCGGAAGGGGCGGAATTCACATCAATTATTGAAAGAGAATGAGACGTTTTAGAGGGGAGAGATAGAGGACGTGGTAAAATTATAGAGAGAAAGAGAGAGGCTTGTGAAAGACTAGGATTTATTCATTATAAATGGTCCTCTAGGATTCTCTTCCATCTATGTACGGCCTAAACCCAAAGGATAAGCATTAAGTTTGGGAGGAATTTTTTACATAAGTTAAATTCTACCCTTATCACTTTTTTTGGGATTCGTATTAAATTTAAAAATGATCCCTTTCGATCCTTGACATAAAGTGGGGAGGACCCTCTCCCGTCATGTAGAACTTGGAACGATAAGCATTAACGTTTTTTATACATAAGCAACTTTTTAAGAGAAGATTTGTGTTAAATTTATTGATGATTTTTTTGTATTTTATATATTAATGAAAAAGATCTTATAAAATTATTAATAATTTTTTTAAAAGATTCGTATTAAATTTAATGATAATCATTTTAGATCCTACACATTGATGGAGAAGGTCCTATGAGATCATTATTTTTTTTTCATTGACCATTGATTCTATCTTTTAGAGGGAAGACGAAAAGAGAGTTTCATCCCCTAAAAGAAAATATTTTGATAGAGCTACAGTCCTATCGAAATAAATAAAGCCTCACTTCATAATTTATCAAAATTACAATTCAAGTATCGAAAAACTTTTACATCAATTGTTTTGGCTTTAAAATATTAGTTGTAAAAAAAAATTAGGATTTTCAACTCTAAAAATTATGTATATATTATAACAAATTATCTACACTGTTCAATTCATCTTAAAATTAAGTGCTGATAAATCCACAAGATATGTCCATTGAGTTTCAAATTTTATTATCGAAAATTAATTTAGACCATGAAGCTTTCTATTACCAAAATGCTTTTCAAAACATGATTTGAGGTGAAGTTTTATTTGGTTTTCACAATGTCTTGGCCGTATAGAAATTTAATCTTTTACTAAATGCAATGACTGATTGGAGAGAGATAGGCCTTAGGGAGAGAATATACTGATGGGAAAGGTTTACCCTAGATTATCGAGAGAGAGGGAGACTAAATGCAATGAATTTATTTATTGATTACCCTATAATACAGAGAGAGGGAGGCAAGAGAGTTTGCTAAATGTAATGAATGAGAATAAAGATATTGAGTCATCACGGCACAACAATTGAAGAGAGGGAGAGGATTTACTCATTAACACTAGATTGTAGAGAGGGGGGAAGAGAGTTTGCTTAATGCACTGGATGAGAAGAACGATGTTAAGTCATCACTGTACACCGCATGGAAGAGAGAGGATTTACTCATTCAACCGATATTAGAGAGAGAGGGAGGGAAAGACAATTTACTAAATACAATGGATGAGAAGAACGAGACCTTTTTTAAAAATATGGAGTTTTTTTCAAAAACGTTTAAAAGCACGATTTTTTTAAAAGATCGGAAAAAATACGTGTTTTTTCTACATAAACATTTAAAACGCGTCTTATTGATATTTATGAAAAAATTGGTTCAAATAAACTTACGTGTATTTTTTTCTTCTAAAAGATGAAAACTTTTTTCATGTTTTATATAATTGTTATTTCCATGATTTCTAAAAAATATATTATTTAAAAAAAAAAAAAACTTCCCTAAAAAATAATTTTTTATCCCTAAGTATGTTGTTAGGGTTTATGTTAAAATCCATTGAATCAAATTAGAACATAATACCATAAAAACCTTTGAATAAAAAATCCCCAATTTTTGACTTGGCAAAGTTCCACCAAAAAATCCATCCAAATTAGGGTTCGAAGATCCAGATTATCACAATTTGTACAACATCTTAAATCTATAAAATTTGATATAGTTTCTCTCTTTAAAACTTAAAATTGGAGATAGTTTATCTTTCTAAAAATAAATGGCCTCTTTCAATCTCAATTTTTTGGGTGGGGAGCATGAAGGGTGGCAATGGCCTACTATAGGCCAACCCTACCTCAGGGGGAGTTAGTTGCACCTACAAATGATATCAATATTACTGTTGTTTTAACTTTATCCATGCCAGTACAATATTTTTTTGTAGGCATTAGCAAGAAATGATTGGGTTATTTCGATAAATATATTCAACTAACTCCAATACTTTTAACAATTAATATACGTAATAGTGCGAAAGTAAGGCCGGGCTCCTAGTTGTTACGAAATAATGGAATATTGGCATTAAGTTCTCGACCCTTTGACTTAAGATTAGTCAGTTCTATTAAATTTTTTGAGATAGTTTATCTCTCTAAAGATCTTTAAGTACTTTCCCTCTCTAAAATTTGATATAATCACTCTTAAATTTTAAGATGCTTTATCTCTCTAAAACTTATAATTTGAGATAATTCATCTCTTTAAACTTTGATACAGTTTATTTCTATAAAAATTTAATATACTTTATCCCTCTACAACTTAAAATTTAATATGGTTTCTCTCTCTAAAAATTTTGAGATAGGTTTTTTCTCTGAAACTTTTAAGTATTTTTTCTATCTTTTTATTTTGATCTAGTGTTGCTCTCTAAAATTTTAAGATACTTTCTCTATCTAAATCATAAAATTTACAATAGTTTCTCTCTATATAAATTTTGAGATGGTCTCTCTCTCCAATTTTTTTTAGGTGGTTTTTCTCTAGAAAATTTGTTATAATTCCTATCTTTAAAATTGCAATATATTTTATCTATCTAAAACTTAAAATTTGAGATAGTTTCCCAGTCTAAAGAATTTTATACATTTCTCTCTACAAAATTTCTGGCAATTTCTCTTTCTAAAATGTATCGTGATCCCTCTCTCTGAAATTTTAGGAATGCCTTTTCCCTCTAAAACTTAATATTTTATATAGTTTCTCTGTTTAAAAATTTTGAGATAGTTTATATAGTTTCTGTATCTAAAATTTTTTGGTACTTTCTCTCTTCAAAAGTTGATGTAGTTTCTCTCTATTTTATTATCTCTTTAAAACTTAAAATTTGATATGATTTATCTCTCTATAAATTTTGAGATCATTTCTATCTTGATAAAAATTTCAGGTAGTTTTTATCTCTAAAACTTTATATAATTTCTATATCTTAAATTTTAGTATACTCTCTCTTTAAAACTTAAGATTTTAGATAGTTTCTCTCTCTCAAATTTTTGAAGATAATTTTTCTTATAGATTTTAAGGTACTTTCTCTCTCTAAAATTTTCATGCATGCCAAATGTGCCCTATGTTTCAGAACGAGGGGGCTAACAAGTGGAATCATCGGGCCTTGAAAATAAAATAAAAACAACTTTTTGTATGGAATTGAACGTGTAAAAGTTATTCCAAGATTTAATTTCCATAGAATTTTAATTTCCTAGCTATTGAACAACCCAAACGGTGGATTTCAATATTATCATGATAATAAAAATCTATGTCCCAAAATCCATGTGCCCAAACAGGCCCTTAAGATTTTTGAATGTTTATAAATCTATCCAATTTATACTATTTTGGAACTTTGAATTTGTGAAACTAGATTTTCAAGGCCACCACTCCAATCGCCTCTTGTAGTAAAGTTTTGATGGAACATGTACTTAGGATGCGATTAGCATGCAACCAGTCCGATGGTTGGGCCTGATTTCTCGTCGTCACCGGTCGGGTGATCCGGTCTGAGGAATCCTCTCTTGAACAACTGCAGGGCCCACGCTCGTATGTGTTTGTGCATGAAGTGTAGATATGAACCAACACAAGAGATATTTTGGTCGGCGAGAAAGGGCTCAAGCACCTACCACACCAGCTGGGTTCAGGGAACGCATCTAGGCAATTCATCCTTTTATATCGCTTAGAAATAGCTCTGACTGTCATTGCAGTGTGGTTTGAATTTAGCTCCATCACTTTACTGCAAAACACTATTTTCACATTTGTCTATGGCTTTTGAGAGGTGTCCCTTGGCTCATTGTTTGTTAGATGCGATAGGTTTGAAAGGTGGGGGTTGTGTTTATGGGTTAAGAGGTTAAGAGAGATAGTAAAAAACAAGGGGAAATTTCACCCGATAAAATGGGTAATCTTCTGACGTCACCTCTCCCACGACGTATTACCAGTCGACAAAGAAAAGGTATTCGACTTGTGATCGAAATACCCCGGAGGATTCAAGAAGTCAACAGTTTATGGGAACAAGCCCAAGAGCCCCCTAATGCATGATGTATGGTAATAATTAATAAAGTAAATGAAGTTTATATATGTATGAATGATAATGAGTGATTGAATGCAGAAGGGTAGTCTTTGAAAAATGTTAGAAAGTAAAGTAGGTGTAAATGTAAGGTAAAGATAAGGGTTAAGTGGTAAAGAAATGGTGTAAGAGATTTGGAAAAAGAGTAGAGGAGTTTTAGGAAGTAAAATGAGGATTTTAAAGAAAGAATGAAAGTTTAGGGAAGAGATTGAGTTTTGTATGTTTTTTTTTTTCAAGAAATATATAAAGGGCTTTGTGATAGAGAACTTTAAGAGATATAGAGACCGAGTAGGTTTTTTAATAAAAAAGAATGAGAGTGAACAAAAAGAGAGGTAGGGGAGTGGAGAGGTAGAGGAGTGAATAATGAAGAAGGAGAAGAAATATAAAAGAAATAAAAGGAAGAGAGAGACGAGATAGAGAAATAACAGAATAAGAGTAAGAAAAGAGTGAGATAGAGATTGATGGGGAGAAAAAAGAAGAGAGAGAGAGAGAAAAGAGAGAGGAGAGAGAAATAGAAATAGAAAGAGAAAGAGAAAAGAGAGAAAAATAAAGAGATAAAGGAGAAAGAGAGAGGGAGTGAAAGAGAGATGTGTGAGAGAGAGAGAGAAAGTGAGAGATTGAGAGAAGATGAGAGAGCCACTAGGTTGCTGCCCTTGAGAGAGATAAAAAAAAAGAGGAGAGTAAAAGAGAGAGGGAGTGAAAGGGAGATGAGAGATAGAGATTGAGAGATGAGGAGAAGATGAGACAGAAGATTCTGCCCACGTGAGAGGAAATAGAGATTAGGGGAGAGAAGAAGAGGAGAGAGAAAAAGCGGGAAAGAGAGAAAGAGGGAGAGCATGGGAGAGAAGACGGGGGGCAGCAACCCTGCTCCGTGAGATGAATGAGA